GCGAAGGTTGCAGCACGAAGCATGTTCTCTACTCGGTAAGATGCGTTTTCTAGTAGTTCATGTGAGGGATGTATCCCCACTAAAAAGTACGTTTCTTCGTTGGCGCAGGCCTGCAGCAACCGAGGGCACGAGGCGGGCGTGGTGGCGCAGGCGGAGGGCGTGCTGGCGGCGCGGGTCGTCACGTCTGCAGAGCTGGCGCGCGCGCTGGCCGACCGCGAGGCCGCCCTTCGCCTGGAGCGCGCCGCCACCCAACGCCAGCTGGCGCACATGCAGCAGCAGCTCCGCGAGGCGCGCCGCCCCGACCACGACTGCAGGCACCTGCAGGCCGAGGCGTCGCGCCTGCGCGACGCCAACCGACAGCTCAGCGACCGCGTGCAGGTGAGCGCGGCCGATTGCGGCTGCTGTACACGCAGGCTTCCGCGGCTCGAGTTCATGACTTCTTGGCTGTCCGGGTGACGCCGCGTTGTTGGCTGAGAGGCCGACGTTTCGCCTGTTATGTCGCAGGTTCTTCAGGGTAGGGACACTGTAATGCTACAGAAGTACGCCTGGAAGTACATTTTACCACCAATTCGCAAATGATCGGAGGCTGTTCAACGCCGTCCGATCACTAGGACGGGTGGTGCGAGGCCCCAGTTGGCCCTCGAGAGCCAATCAGAGGCACCTCTCCGCCAATCACGGCGCACTTGCGACACTTGAGCGTCAAGGCTCGAAAGCATATGACACCGGAGGCGTATGCTTACTGTGTCACTACCCTGAAGAAGCCTGCGATATGACAGGCGAAACGTCGGCCTCTCAGCAAACGACGCGGCGTCACCCTGACTGCCAAGACGTCAATAGCGGCTGCTGTTGACTCAAGGGCTCAAGAGCGTCGCTCTCGACAGAAAATTTAATCTCGGCAGAAGTTGCAGAATGTATTGGATTGGCATTAAATCAACTCGTTTCATTTATGTATAGCATCAGCGCCAGTTTTGAGGTCGTGTTTAATTTCATACCCTCACGTAAGAAAGTGATCAGTGTTTTCGAGATGTACCGTTTTTGGGTGTATCGCTTTGCAGGTGGTAGCTGGAGAATCCTATGAAATTGAAGCACGAGGAAGAGATGAGGTTTCTGGGACTTGGAAGGAAACAAGCATCGTCTTGCTAAAGGTTTTAGTTCGGTTCGGAGGTATCGCAAATTAACTAACCTAACAATATTGACCCTTTCATCTGAGTTCATAAATTACGGTTTTGTTTGCTGCCAATGTGTTGTTTTTTTAAATTTGTGAGCACAATTATCTTCCGTAATCAACGCATGTTGACTTAGGCTAGAATTAAAATCCCCTTCCTTGCAAAACTATCATACCCTTCATTCTGTACTGTGTCCTCGTTCAAGAAAAATTGCGGTAAGACAAAATGCATGAAATTTTTCGGCAGCCATCCTAATGGGCAACCCGTTGACTGCATACGGTTAAGATTCGTCAGTTTTTCTCGTGAGTTTGGTGACCACAACAACTCGGGGGAACAAAACACATGAGCTCCTGATTTTCTTCGGATTATGGGTTCCTATTTCACTGTATGTTGAACGTCTGTGCACTCACAATTGAACTTAAGTTTTGTTGGAGTAAATGTGAAAGTTGATTCACAAAAAAGAGACGTGGTAAAACTGAGCTTTTGTAAACGCCTTCGTGAAAGCGTTAAATTGAAATACGCAAAAACTTTTGGGTACTATTGGCCACATTGTGAACATGCATGAGTCCCTGAGAAGCCAATATTCGATTGTGTGTGAATTTGGAGTTGTAAAATACACGGAATAATGGTGTCGATATGGTCATATTAGGTCGAGTCGAAAAAGAAATAATGGGGAAAGTCTGACTGAACATGAGCAATATAGTAGCAGGGTAATGCGTGTTTCAAGCCAAAACAAGAAAGTGAGAATATCAGAGGAAGCGATCGAAACAATAAAGAATCGTACTATTAACTCACTCTTTGTCTCGACTGTAACACATTTTATAATTGAGAAAAATCATTCTTGCTCGAATTGTAGTGTGTTGATGGGCTCGATGCTGTGAAAATTCGTTTAAAAAAACTTCTGAGGTCCAAATGCTAGTAGAAGCCCTCGATAGGAATTATGTCCTGGAGCCCCAAGGTAAGGAATGAGGGTTCAACAAGAGTGAAAGGCAGCGGCCTCTGTGGCATTTGGGAGAATCGTCGATAAACCGCGCAACGCTTCCCGGCCGCGTGACCCGCATTGGCGCGTGACGCCTTGCCGAGCCGTGCGTAGGCAACCCCCCGCGCACGCGGGTGCGGCGGCACGCGGCGCCCACGACGACGCATGCGCGGCGCGCGCTCATCGAGTGACTGGCGGCGCTGGCGGGGGCGGGGGCGACGGTGGTGGGGGAAGCGAGGAAGACGGGGTGGCGATGGCGGCGATGGTGATGGCGGGGCGGCGGGTTGGAGGAGGGGGCGGTGGCGATGGTGTGAGGGTAGGGGGGCGCGGCCGATGGGTGGGTGCGGGGAGGGACGGGGGCAGAAGCGACAGCGAGCTGCGGTGCGAGGGGTGGCGCAGTGGGTGGGGGGAGGAGGGTGTTCTGGGGGCGAGGTTGAGCAGCCGGGGAGGCGCTAGCGGTTGTGGGCAGAGGCGGCGGGGGGACAGGAGGTGGCCGGTGGGATGAGGGGGTGACTGGAGGTACACGGAGCGGGAGCGGCGGCAGCAACGGCGGGGCGGGCGGCGGGCAGGGTTGGCAGCAATGGCGGGGGGGAGAGGTCAACGACTTCTCGGATTTCGGAATGTGTGTCACCACCTTGGAGGTCACCCCACCGGAGAAGCACTTTTCGGAACCCTAAACCACGCCGCCGCCGTTAGGAGGGATGAAAGCCAGTTTACGATGGATATTTTTATTGTGGGTTTTGTGACTGCCGGTTCTTTGAGAGGCGGATGACATTAAAAATATTAGATCGATGCTTTCAGCCAAACGATTGCTATTTCTTAGCTAAAATTTTTAAATAAATTGTATGAGATAACCATGTCATATAACTCATACTATTATACTCCCACATTCGTTTTGGCGACTATATACTCTGTGTAAATAAATCGAAGTTATGAAACAAATTTGTATTGTATCTTATAAAGATTTCCGTACTATATGTTCATCAATATTCAATTTCTGTAGCTGCTTCGTTACTTCATTGGGCAACGGAAGAAATTACAATAATTTATTGAATCGAAACATTGTTAAGCATCGTTTGAAAATGTTTGAGTAAAAAAATACCGGACGTTCAAAGGCTAATTATTATCGAAAGCAGTTTGAAATGATCACCACAATTAACAGAGAATCCGATTCCAACTTTTATCAACGACAATTTTTAAAAAGTTATATTTATTACTATTTTAAGCTAATGTTTCCCAACATTAACAGTTTTCATATTAAAAATGGAAAAAACATTAGTTACGGCTAAACTTTATGTGGAATGTGTGTAGATGAAACAACCACCATGATCGGTTGAATAAAAAAAATTCACTTCATTTTGGGAGCAACAGAACAAATAAGTCTGCGTCTGACATGTTTGCTGCTCCATAAAATTAGTATTCGTAAAATGAAAGTTATGAAAGCAAACTTACACGAAAAAGCTTTTAACCCCTTATCGCAGGTAGTCAAATGAGATATGATTGGCACATAGATTATCCTTTAGCGAGTAATTTACATTACAGCTCGAAGGAGAAAAACACCAACTTACACAATAATGAAAATTAAAATATATTGTTTCAGAAGCAAAGAAGAAGTAATAAGTAAGTTGTTGGTGGCAATCTTCAGAGTACTGAATAAGTACTGAATAAAGTAAAGTGGTTGGACGTTGGGACTTCAACAGTATTTCCTCAGAACTCAAAATGTGTTTCTCATAATTTGAATTGTCTAGATCTTGTATGTAATTTAGTACTCCATGTACTCGACTGAGAAACATTTTAGCATTAAGTAACGAATTAATGAATGTGTATCTAAAAAAACTCAGAGATAATTTTCATTTTATATTTTTATTACTTCTTACATACCTATTCATTAGATGAACGTTGTGAAAATGCACTTTTAAAAACATGTGTCGTAATATACATAATATAAATAGTACGCTTAAAAACGTAACATGTTTTTTCTTTCAATTGTTCGATTTATTACTGACCGTCTAGATACACAAAAAGGAAGTTTTGTGTTGGGTATTGACGCAATGGAGTCGGAGAAAAATGCCTATATACGAGAAAAAGAGTCGTATTAGAAAACGACAATTTCTTTGTGTACATTAGTCGATCTGAAGCCTTCATTCTCATCGAGTTTTCTTTAGATTACTTAATTTTTTTATAGCATATGGTTGGGCAGCCCGTTATTTTTATTTCCAGGGTAAATGCAAAGATTGGCTCTCCTATTGTTAGTTTTAAAAATTGTATGAGTTTTGCAGTTTATTATCATTAATATTCCTCTTCTTCACGACTAAAGATGTTTTGAGTGGTTGAATATAAAATCTACTCCAGATTGCAATCATCTTCATAAGGAGCAGATCTAGGGTCAGTCGGGGCCTCTACAAAACTTTGCACATGTCTTGCGCGTCACAGTCTTTTGAATGACCTGGGAGTTTAGCCAAGTTCTTAAACAAATTTTGCGGAACAAATCTCAAAGTTCATATAATAAGCGGAACGAACTGTGCTTTTAGGCACTACATTCTTTTGATCACAATTTTAATTTATTATTATTATTATTATTATTATTATTATTATTATTATTATTATTAACCTGACATGATCTAAAAGGTCGATCGTTAATCATGTACATGCAACCCGTGTCCTCTTCATTACCAGCAGCACAATTACAGTGCCTATATCCAGCGCCATAAGGAGGCGCTGCGCAAATTGTTTCATCACGAGAAGGGGCGTCTCCCCAACCTACTCGCCCCCACTTCCGGTCGCCTGGGGGGCGTAGCCCGCGCCCGCCCGCGCATCGGACCCGAACGCGCTCACGGCTGTAGAGTGGGGACAGGATGGCGACGCTTAACAAGATCACGGGAGGAGAAGACGAAGAAAAGGAGGAGGGAGGAATGTTTCAAGAACCTACACGTGGTCGGAAGATACCCGTGCTGTTTTACTCGTTCGTGTAAATCTGAGCAATACAAGTTATGAGTAAAACTGTCATGAATGATATTTCAGGATACGTGTACGGCGTCATAAAAATTAATATTGATTTGTTGGTGATGTGTTGTTGGCGGCATTTCAAATACATGTAGAATGAAAGGCGGTGTCTTGGCAAACATTATTTGTTGTAATTTCAGCTATCGATGGTTTAGCTGTGAACTGTTCTTGAGAACCGTTTCTGACGTCTAGTCATTTAGTATCAGACTTCACGGCTAGTCTAATAGCAACAACTACATAATCGACTACACGTTTTCTGACGTCCGAATAGCAGATAACTAATTTTAGTTGCTAATCAATCGAAAGCTAGTATTACAATAAAGAATAATGTTGCCCAAGACAACGCCTTTTATTATTTAGTTTACGTGAAAATTAAGTTCAAAGTGAATTTAATTAACAATTACTAAACTACCTACTCCACTAAAAAAGTATCATCTCTAAAAGTAATAAATCGAGGATGATATGGGACAAAAAGTATGAAAATTATTAACATGTGTAACAGAAGGTGGTTTCGTTGGCTTTAGAAACTGGTCATACAAGTGAAACTTTCTGGTGAGTGGGTAGAAGACGTTCCAATAGAAAATCCTGCAGAAAAACAACCATTCTGCAGCGTTGGGCTGCAAAAAATAGAAGACCAAGAACTTGAGATGGGAATGGGCGAATTGATTTGGGAAGTTGCCAAGGATGACTAGCCTGCGGAGGACGAGAAAGAACGAGAAACAGCGGCATAAGGAGGGCGGAGGGGGGGCAGGATGAGGGGACGGAAAACTGTACAAAGGTATCGGAATCCTACCGAAAATAGAAAATCCGAGTTCAGGAGGCATTCAGGAGAGCAGTCAACATGTAATATTAGTACCTGAACCTATGCTATTACATCGCACAGAAGAGCTCTAGAAAAGTTACGGATTAACCATGAAAATACATGTTTTATATTTACCAAGAGCTTTACACATATATGCATGGATATTATTTTGGCCTATGACAGCAAATACTGCTATCAAACTTACTTTAATGTAATGACTGCATTTTTTAATTTCATCACTGAAATTTTAATATAAAGGGACATGCGTCACACATAATAATAACAATAATAATAATAATAATAATAATAATAATAATAATAATAATAATAATCAGAACACCCTCACCTCTTTAATGTTCTCCGTAGATATAACAAGAATTATATATAAGAAAAAATATTGACTACTTACAATTAATAGTCGCAAACTATTGTTTTGCGATCACACAACATGATGTTCTCTACGCAAGATCAACTGCCCTTCCAATTCACCGCGAACTTTCCAAGTTGTGCATGATACCATCTTGCCAATTCCATTCTAGAGGCTCATTTCAAACAACGCAAATTCTGTAGCTTTTTATTTATAAAGAAGAGCTGCGATCTATTGAATATATAGTGACCTCCACTCCTATCTTTTTTTGGTATGTCACTTGTTCAAAACCGTTCACTAGTAGACGTTTAGAAAAAACATCAAAACCGTTCTTTTTAAGGCTTTAATATATTATATCCAGACAGCCAGGACGAGTCTACATTTTGCCTGATCTAAGACTGTGATGAATAATGGAGCATATGTGTTATTAAAATGAAAAGCGAGGAGGCTTACGAGAGGGAAGAATTGCAAACGATTGAATTCACAACGCTAAGTAATACGTATAACAAACGACCCCAACATAAAACCGACTGTAGTTGCAAAGAGTTTTGCCCGTGGTGGATTCTGTAGCCGAGGTGGAAGGTTAGAAGCAGGAAATTGAAAGTTATTCTCTGGTAAGGCCTGGTGCAAATTAGAAGAAACAAGACAAGAAGAGCTGAGAGGCTACAGCAGTGTGGACATTGAAGTGGATAAAGGTGGATAAAATGTTTTATCAGCGAAACACCAGAAACCTCGAAGAGCCAAAGCTTAGGGTAAATTTAAATCGTAAATGTGAACTGTTGCGAGAACTTTTTGTTTTAGTACTAATCAGTTTAGGGGGAATGATTCATGAAATGTCAGTTCTGAATATATATCATTTTGAAACCAGCAACCACAAATTTTTCATTATTTTCCAACAGAGCCCAAAACTCATTTTACCGGTTAAACTCAGCGCGAAAGTTTGATGAGACTTTTACGTACATTGCGCTATTCATGTAACGGTATTTCTATTTAGAAAGAGGGTTACCAGAGTACCGAAGAACTGAGGTGATATATTGGCAAAGGCCCCCGGGGTGAGGAAATGACGATCGAAACAGCGGGCTAGAAACGAAATTGAGGAGTGCGCAGGGGGGGGGCAAGGATAACGAAGAGAGGGTAATAGACGAAGAAAGAGACTAGTTCGGGGTGGGGGAGAATGACATCAGTGGGACGGCCGGAGCATCGGGGCAGAGGCGTAGCTACTACTAATAGGAAAAAGAACAACGGCAACGGCTGACTGCAGTGCCGAAGCGGTGGCTCGAGGAGGAGGTTTACGGTGAGGGAAGTGGGGCGAGAGACCAAAATGAAGAGAAGTGAGATTTGTTAGAGGAGCAAGATTCAACAAAGACCGCAGTGTCGTAGAAGAGTCGCAAAGAACGAACACAACTTAAGAAGAGTCGGCGAAGAGAGAATAGATCAAACTGTGTTGTGGAAATGCGTGTGTGTGTGTGTGTGTGTCGAAGTTTGTGGAGGTTGATAATTGGAGACGAAGGTAAAAGATAGGGAAGTGGACTGCAGTGTGAACGAAGACACGAAAACATTGGTGCACGTAATTGTTACCTTTAAATCATTTGTGAGCAATTCTTTGTGTAATTATTATATATCCTGTATGTTTTAGAGAAAAAGTAAGGGGCCGATGAAGCAAACAATTCTTAGTTGTTATGCTTTTAAAATGGGCTGATGCAAGATTTAGGTTGAGAATCCTTAAATTAGTGCAACACGGTAGAGCGACGTTGTTAAAGCAGACTGCAGAGTAGCGGAGGCTGTCGAAGTCTCAGGAAGTGGGGAATAAGGAGCATCTAATGCAACACTAAAGAGAGGGAATACTTACAGTAGGTTGCATTTGCACGAGCTGCCGAAGTGGTAAGAAGGGCCGTCAACTGCAAAAGCGGGGAGGAATGTTGAATCAGGGCGTAGTGGAGGCGAGCCTGTGGAAAGCATAAGACGTGGAAAAGGAGGAGCGTCTAATGCAAATTTATGGAGGGGGCTACTACTGAGATTTGCAGTGCCACGTCGTGTAAAAGGCGTAGGCGCCATCGGGAGGGGCAGAGCAAGTAACAAAAGAGCGACGAAGTTGAAGCGAGCTGCGTATATTGGAAAAGGGTTAGGAAATTGAACAGAAGGGGCATGCAATGCAACATAAATAAAGGGGTACTTGCTGTGCGATGCAGTGCAACGTAAGGTTGATTTTATTAGTGATTCCGGGCGCGTCAACGGCTAAGGTCATTAGTCCCATAAGTTTAGTGCAATTGATAGCTAGTGGTGATCTTCCCCCGCTGGTTAGATCCGGCGCCCACCTATCGTCGGCAAGCAGGTTTTCTGCAACCAGCTGGGACAAGCTCTAAGCCCGGTTTCCCAGCAGTATGGTAGTCTAATGCCTGTACGTATATGTGTAAGTAACGAGTGAGATAGAACAAGGAATGGGAAAGAGAAATCGCGCGCGGTCCGTTTGTTACGGTAATGCTTCGGCGTTCTTCTGGTGGAACCACTAGAATTCTCCTCCAGATAGAGACTGAATTCTACATAGCTATCTAGCTGGAGTCGAGGAGTGGAACCCTAGGACCTCTAGGTCAGAGGCACTGCGGTGACATAAGTTGAAGCCCTGAGCTTCCTCTCTCAGCATATTGAAGGCGATGACCAGGTTGGCTGGAGGGAGAGCATAATGTGTGTGGAAAAGAAGGGGGCGTGCAATGCAACATTAAAGAGAGGGGGTACTTGCTGTGTGTGTGCAGTGCAACGTAGGGCCTAGGCGCCATCGGGAGGGGCAGAGCGGGGGCGTGGCGGGGCGTGGCGGGGCGTCGCTGGCTTGTCGCGGGCCGACGGCTGAGCCCGTGGTTGTTGCGCTGGCGACAGAACCTGACGGGGAGAGCTGCAGGGTAGCGGCGCGGGCGGAGGCGGGCGGTCTAGGCGGCGGCGGCGGCGCGCGGCGGGCCCGGGGCGGCGGGCGGTGGCGGGGCGCCGAGGGCGGCTGGTGCCGCGCTGCGCGGAAGGAGGCGGCGGCGCTGCGCGCGGCGCTGGAGGGCAGCGGGGCGCGGCAGTGCGCGAGCTGCGCCGCGCGCATCAAGAAGGAGCTGCGGGTCGTCCCGCGAAGGAGGAGGCGCGCAGAGCGCGAGGGACTGCTCGCCGACCTCAAAGTCCAGGTGAGGCTCAACCTCACAAGTCCTTGGTAATCAACAATTGGTCATTATTGGGAGATGATGTCTAGTGCGTTATAAAATGAACAGCACAAGCCGGCGAAGAAAGGAGGACTGCCTCGCGACGCTCAAAGCCAGGTGAGACCTAACACAAAGTCCTTGTAGCGCCAGGGAGGGGCGGGGCTAGTGCCTGAGGGGATGACGCGATTGAACACAGTTGCGTTATCGGAGCATTCAATGTTTTATAACAACCTGAAGACAGGAGGACTGCCTCGCCAACTTCAAGCCCAGGTGAGCAACTACATCTAAGTCCTTGTAGCCACCAGGGAGGGGCGGGGCTACTGCCTGAGGGGATGACGCGATTGAACACAGTTGCGTTATTGGAGCATTCTATTTTTTATAATAACTACACCAAGACAGGAGGACTGCCTGGAGCTGAGGACTGCCGACCTCAAACCAGGTAAGACCCAAGTTCAAGGAGTAGTTCAAGGAGAGGCGTGTCTTGAACGTATTGGAATGTCACGATTGAACACAGTTGCATTACTGGAATACTCAGTGCCTAATAATAAGGACGTAAAGACGGGAGGATTGCCTAATACTGATCCAGGTAAGCGGTAGCCCAACTACACTTGGGATGCCTCGGTTCTTGTGGTCAGTGAAGGTCGAGGCTAGAACTTCCTGCAATGTAATGAGGAACAACACAATTGTTTAACTTTCAAATTTCATCACAGGTCTTTCATTGGAGTACTCAATGCCCTTTAATAAAAACGCGATTGTCTTGCCGACATCAAAGTCTGGTAAAAAGCAGCTCTACTATATCTAACTCCATGTAGTAAGGCAAGGGCGTGACTAGTACCTGAGGGAATGACGCGAATGAACACCGTTGCATATTGGAGCACTCTATGTCTAATAATTGAACGCGATGACGGGAGGACTGTCTTGTCGACTACAAAGCCAGGTAAGCGGTAGCTCAACTAAACTTGGGATGTCTGGGTTCATGTCGCCAGAGAGGGACGTGGTTTGAACTTCGTGGAATATTACGTTGAGGGACAATACAGTTGTTAAACATTTAAATTTTATCACAGTTGTTTTTATTCGGACACTCGGTGGATAACAATAACTCGAAGACGAGAGGACTGCCTCACTGACCTCAAAGCCAGGTAAAAAATCTCTCCTGCTCCTAAGTTCTTGCAGGTAAGGATTTGGTTGGAACTGCTCGGAATATCATGATGAGAAAGAAAGATTGGACGTTGTTACTTCATTGGAACACTCGGTGTATAATAATAATAATAATAATAATAATAATAATAATAATAATAATAATAATAATAATAACGCGAAGGCGCAATGAATGTGTCGCCGATCTCAACACCAGGTAAGTACATTCGCATAGGGGGGTTGGGTTCATTGAGTCAGGGAGGGGCGTGGCTAAAACTTGCGGTAATGTCACAAGGAGGAACAATACAGACGTTCGACCTTAAAACTTCAACACAGTTGTTTTAGTAGTGCACTCAATGGCTAACAATAACAAAGCGACTTCAAAGCCTCGCCGACTTCAAAGCAAAGTAAGCTAGAACTTAGCTACTTTGGTGCTGATATCGCCCGTAATATAATACCCTCATAACGGGTATCCTGTAATTGCTCACCTTGGGATCAGGAGCCGTCACATTGTTCACCGTTTTGGCATTCAAATTCCGGTAGACTAAATGAAGTTTGTAGTGGACAAGGCAGGAGCGTGAAAGGTTTTCTCGAGATTCTCCCGCTTTCCCCTGTCTCTCATTTCTTCATTTCTCCACTATCATTCATATTATCACTGATAACACCTGAAAATAATTGAATTTATTCTTTATCAGGTATGTCTTGACTTCTTTGACACTTGTGTTACAATAAAAAAATTAGTCATAATTCAAAAATCGTAATTTGTGCGTAAATGCGTCCATTCGACAGTCCTGGACAATTAAAATTTCTTGAGTGATTAAGTACCGTTGGACTTCATGCACTTATACCTGCAATCATGTGGTACTGACGTTTGAGACTTAAGTGGATAGATAATATTCTAACTATGTAGTTCGCTTGAGTGCGCGATGTGACACACACGCTTGAGAAGCACGAATAAGCTTTTGATAGGAATTCATATTAGTGTACTGCTGGAACGAATTGAACTAGGACGTTGATTCCGTTACCGGCATCAAGAAATCGCTTACCACTATTCCTAAAGTGAAACAAAAATAATCATCGTAATGAGGAACATTTATATCCAGTGTAAAACTTTAAAATAATTCAGTTTTGAATTAAAATTATTGAAAATAAGTTTGAATTTTTAGAAAACGGTAGTCCGACGAAATATCACATAGAATTAAATGCAGTAATCCGAAAAAGCTTAGAGCTGTGCTTAGCGCAAGGTTAAACTGCAGCTCGGAAAGGAACTCGAAAATAGAGCAAGGCGAGTACACAGCTGATCTATCGGTATTAATATTAAAACTAAAGATTTTTTATAATTTCCTCACATACGTTTTCGAGAATAACTACGGAAGGGCGCGCAGGTACAAACACCCCATTTTGTTTTTGTTGTTATGGAGGTCTTTCGATGAATTGGATTTTTACGTCATAATGTCAAATCAGAGATAAGAGAATTAAAATATTGCGTAGGATAACACTACATCACACATCTCATTAGAGAGAAGGTAAATTTTAAATCGTCCGATAAACTTTTTGAAAACTGGACAAATTTATGTTATAACGGTTTGAAATTTAAAGAGCGATATACTTAAATGTGACATGATGAAACCTCTTGAAGTCTTGTGTTTCACTAAAGAGCACGCCTGGTAAGGAAACATGAGCGTTGCAAGTACACTAAAACGTGTACTGACGGATATCAAACATCGCCTGCTAAACCGGAAGTAGCACAGTTTATAGATTTTTTATTTAATGGATATCTGATCGATGTCTGATCATTCTCCAATCGTTCTCGAGTCAGTCTTGGTTGGGCCGTGGGTCGGTGCCACACCGAACTCTGATCGAGCTCGGTTCGAATCAGGCATCAGTCAGAATCGGTATGTAATCGCTGCAGGCACAGTAACCAGTAATACTAAATACACATCTTAACCTGGTTTAATGTGCGAGGCGGATTGCCCGTAAGGAGATTAACGGACCGCGAGGGCGCAGACCTCAAGGATCTAAAAGAGATGTGTGGACGCCCTTCACCCCTCTTCACTTGCGAGTGTCTACATTGTTACTCGTGAAAAGAATAGACACGTACTTGGATGCAGTGACCATTGCACTGTTCATGTAACAAAATATGAATAATCAAACATAGAGATGCTAAACGAATACTTATTGATTCTAATACTGTGATGTCTACTCGTTGATAACCGTACGAAACAAAGGAAATGCACGTACATGTAAAGTACCATGCGGACTTTTGAAGATAATTTCAATGACATACGTATTAGTCAACTCATAGGTACTCTTTCAATGGGGAGATTCACAGGCGTTATTAAGGAGGCATTGTTCATTTACTTACGAGTAAGTTTGTACTCAAAGGAGAAACGTACTTATGGAACTTTCTTATAAACCTAATCGTTACATTATCATTAACTACACTAGATACACATACAATATAATTTCATTAAATAGATAATAACACTAGGGAACACGGTTTTTACCTCCAGCAAGTAGTTATACCTACATTACGAATATCACTATAAAAACCTCATATTACGTCACAGTTTTTAAATATACCGAATCTTTATACCGTATCATACCATATTTTGCTATTAATGTAAATATATTTAAATTTTACCTATAAGTTATGTGAAACTACGTATAAAATCCGTTTAAAAGTAAATATTGGTTCAGTTCATCTATGCTCCTTTCATGAGATATAAACAAAATTAGGCTTACCTTTTTTACCTTCTATATTTAAAGATTGCCGTCTTTATTCTCGCGTCTGGTAGTCGCGGTCAATTACGAGTCTCAGTGGGCTTTGTAGATCTTCGTAGATGTTTTGCAAACTAGTCACGTGCACCTTCGTATGTCGTACTGGCCATCAATCACCTAAATTAATTATTACCTTTTACCTTGTCGCAAGTATACAACTATCCAACTGTTGGGGTGGCAGATTCTGAGTCAGTGGGGGTCCGCAGTGCGCGTGATTGTCATGTCTAGTTTTCGTGTACCTCAAATATATTAATGCATAACAGTTCTGTGTTTTTTCTAATGTGAAATTTGTCACACGATCTGTAGAATTCAATCGGTTCGATAAAATGTAAATCGTCATTTTACATCGAAAGTGTGAGAATAGACTCGATAACTTCTGTTACGTTTGTGGATATTTACACCCAAACTTAATGGGAAAAAATATGAAATTACAACACTTGTGTATTCTTTCTACTTTGGCTGCCGTGTTTGTGATTGGGACGAAACATGAGCTGCCCACCAGTGTTGTCATCTGTACAACGAACCTTAGGTTGTGGTTGTATGGAAAATACAGATCATTGTCACTCGCTCTGCGAATGTTGTGAAAAGTACCAACAAACCATTTTAATGCCTATGTATTATTACACGAATATGAAAATTCCATTTTAATTTGTTCTTTCGTCATGAAACATGTTCATACTTTTTGAAGTAATATAACCGGAGTGACAATGCATAAAGTAGAATAGGATTTTGTTTAATTCAAATACTAAATATGTTCCTATTTTTTTAATTCCTTCGTGATAGAAACTTTTTATAATGATTTTCGGAATCATCGTAACCTTTTTTTTAAATCACCTACTTGTAATTTGGAGGTATGAAAAATAATTCACATCTTTATTAAGTACAGAAATGCTTACCTATGCACTCTTTGGTTAACTTTGTAAATGCCCTTGACCACAGATAATTTTGTGCAAACGATGTGCACGCATCCCAAATCGCGCCGTGTTGCGTCATGCTCATTTTAAATTCTAATCGTTACGTGTCGCTCTCGCGCCGGACTCATTTAGCTCGACACTCTGGCTCGTGTCGATTTCCGAACGTGCTCGAGCTTTCAGCTACATCCGACCTATGGATGCAACCGCGTGACCCTCAGACCGTTTCATCAACTCCTCATATGCCTGAACGCTTCAACACTGCCTATTTCATTACAATGATACAATTCATACAATTTTTAAAAAATTGAATTACCTACTTCAATTTTTCCTGAATATTTATTTGTACACATCGCTTAAAAAGAACACATGTATTTTTTCACGTACTTTATTTTAGGCACAGTAACTAACAATTGATAGTAAAAACATTAAAAAGTAAACGTTCAATATACACATTGATTTAATTATCAAGAATCCGAGTAAAACTTATATTTTCACACATTAAAATTTAAAATATATGGTAAAACTATATCTTGTAATAAAAATATTAAAAATATATAACAAGACGATTACACTCACAAGCAGTTAATATGCAATACATTACACAAACATCAATACACAATAAACAGTTAATCACAAAAGTGCCAAAGTGAAATGAACCTATTTTGTCAATGACGACAACGTTTAGTAATATCGAGAAAATGAAGGTCGTTAAAACAAAAGCTATCGCTGTGTTTCTCGAAAACAAGATGTGATGGAAACATCTACAGCCAGTATAATGTAGCTGACAGAAAAGTATAATAGCAACCAGTTTTTCAGTAACGTGTCACGCAGTGTTATTACTCAGTTCATTTCTGGCATACGCGGCTTCGTCTCTGAGGGAACTTTATCGTACAACGCACGGTGTGTAGAGCATTTACTGTTCTGTAATTATGCGTCGGTCTGTGTATGTGATCCAATCTCCCAAAACCGTGACTATCTACTGCGTTAACATGTAAATTGTACATTAGATGCCTCCGTAAATTCTGCATTACATGGCCAAAACCTCAACTTGCATGCCAAGTGAATTTCTCTCTTCGATCCTCACACATGCACACCCTATCTTCTTTGCGATAAGTATACGAAGAAGGTTTGTAGTTGTAGGTCTAGCTGCGACTATTTTATGCTCTATCTTAATATCAGAGATTGTAGATAAACGATGCACAGTTCTCAATTATCATATTCCATGAAAAACATAAAATCCCTCTCTTTTAATCCCAGATGCCATTAAAGATCTACAATAAATAATTTATTTTTTACTGAATTTAACTTTTCGTATTATTTAATGTAGTTCGTTGTCTTATAATCACTACCAATAAGATGTTTGTTATATTTAAAATATAATTAAATTAATGGAAAATATTCTTCTTCTCTTGATAATATTATATTGAATAAATTTTAACCATTGATCTTGCGTTATTTCGGCACAACACACGTTCTGTTTTGCAATGATTGAATACAGACATCTATGAATTATTGTTCTGTCGGAAAGCGCAGCGCATTGAAATAGAATTCCAATCTCATTGTAGTAGTTTATTTTGCATTCAATAATGTGGCTACAGCGTATTCTCATTCCCCCTTCATGTGCATGGCCGAATTCAATTATCGTGAAATGTGTATCACAACAATGAAGGTCAGAACGTGCCGGTTGCAGTAATTGAAACCCCTCAACCTACTGTTATTTCGGTTTGTTATATGCAACATGAATATTTATTCTGATGCTAAATAGGCTACCTGATACATGCATGTGCAAAATTTCTTAATTCTATAAATATAAAGGTAGGAAATACGTTTTGAAACGAATATATTTGTGATAATTGCCTAAAATGTTTCAGTTTCATGAATAGTGTTCGGTTTTGAAAGATTAATTCTACCGCAAACGGGTAGGTCACATATGTACAGATCATTGAAAATTACGTATAAACTTACAACTTTTAATAAATTTGAAATACCATCTAAATTTGGTTAACGATGCCATGGGAGGAAAACATGTCCCACTATGCTTTAATTCACCTGCATTCATTTTCCCCTATGCATTCATTCTCTTATTACATTCTTCCTGACGTAACCCGGCCTTATCCGAGTATATATTTATCACAATCACCAATTAGACAGTAAAAGCAATAAAAGTGTAATTAATGAGAGAGCAATTTTATTTGCATCTCTTCGAAGTCTCTTTCCAACCTGCCCCTCTTCGACCTGCTTCGAATTTTTCCTACCAACTTCAACCCGCTCCATCCCAGCCCGTTGCGACCTGCTCCTACCCGCTCCGACCTGCACCTACCCATCCCCGTTCCCGCCCCACCCTGCCCTTTCGCTTCCGCCTCCCCCACCCCGTCTCGCCCCGCCTTCGCCCCGCCTCGCCCAGCCCTCGCCCCGCCCTCGCCCCGCCTCGCCCCGCAACGCCACCTCGCCCCCCCCCCGCCACGCCTTTGCCGCCACGACTCGCGCCACAGCTTTTGCCCTTCCCGTGCTCCGACTTTGTTCCGCCTCTGCTGCCCCCTTTGCCCCGTCTCTGCCCCTCTCTGTCCGTCTCTGCCTCATCTCTCTTT